AAATAATTAAGTGAAGGGATACAGGGGCAACCCGTTATTTTCATATAGTCGGACTTGAGTCTGAAATGGGAAGTACAAATGCCTGCACATTAAAGGAGGGGTTTAGGGAATATTGCAAGTTTGGATGGGAATGTAGTTATCTTTAAAATGTTTATGCTTCTAGACTGTTTGTATTCTGACAACGCGCTCAGCAAAAACAGTGATAATTTTCCGAGTGTTGTGAAAGTGTTTGAATGATGAGGAAAGTATTTTCTTTTTGGGGATTTTCTTTCTTTTTTGGTCACCCTGCCTCGTGGGAGACCGGCCGACTTGTTGAGAAAAAAAAAAAAAAAAAAAAAAAATATAATATATGTTTATATATATATATATATATATATAATAAATATAAAGTTAATATAAAAAATGTATAAATATATATAAATATGTATAGTATATATGTATATATGTTGCATAGAGCTTAACCATGTGCCTCCCAACCTAGTCAGTTCAGGTCACATAGCCTTAAGGAGGAACACGGCAACCGACCTGGTAGAGCTACAAGCTATAAGGTCAACTCACACCACCACATCCTCTCATTATTTATCCAAACCCACATTTAAAGCTAGCACAAGCGTTGCGGGCTTGGGGGGGGGGGCCTCTATAACATGTACTCGGGAGTTTTGTTCACAACTCTATTACCAACCAGTACTTTCCTATATCCTTCCTGAATCTGAATTTTTCTAACTTAAAACCATTGCTGCGATCCTGTCTAGGCTAGATATTTTTCATCACACTATTTACATCCATTTATTTATTCCTGTCTCCATTATACAACCTCAATCATATCCCCACTAATTCTAACGTCTTTCTAGAGAGTGCAGATTCAGGGCCCTTAGTCTATCCTCATAGGGAAGGTTATTCTGAATAACATGTGATCAACTTTTCCATCCTCACTTTGAGACATTTTCCAGAGCATTTATATCCATTCTGTTAGATAACGGTGACCAAAACTGTGACATAATCTAAATGAGGCCTAACCAAGGGATGATAGAGTTGAAAGAACAACCTGAGGACTCCTATTATTTATGCATCTGATAAGATGCCAAGGATTCTATTAGCTTTATTGCGAACACTTATGCACTGTTTGTCTTGGTTTCAGATTACTGCTAACTCAGAACTCCTAAAATCTTTTTCGCAATCCGTAATATTAAGATCTACAGTATTTAGTTTATATGTGGCATGTTTTATTTGACCAGTCCCAACATTTAGAACGTTGCATTTGTCCAATTAAACTGCATCAGCCACCTCTCCGACCACTGCATCAGTCTATTTCAAATCCTCCTGGAGTGCTCTCCTGGTCCATCGTCAGAATGAATTCGACGCCTATTTTTGGTGACATCGGTAACAAACTTGCCGTTGTCGCTCTTTATGCCCTCATCTTGCGTTTATGTAGATTGTGAACTAGCCGGGGGCCCAACACTGACCCCTGTGGAACACCGCTCGTGACGCTTCCCCTACTCTGATTTCCCCCATTTAATGCAAACTCTACTGCTGCCTATTTGTCAACCATGCCTCTAACCAGGAAAAAATTTCTCCTCCAATTCCATGTGTCCTTAATTTTCCTCAATAGCTCTGATGTGGACCAGTCCCCAAAAGCCTTTACAGTAAATCCATATACACAATAGTCATAGTCATTACCATGATCTACCTCCTCAAATAACCTAGTGAAAAAAGTTAATAAATCGTAAGGCAGGAAACGCCCATTGTAAAACCATGCTGAATCAGTTGATAATTTATGCTTTCAGGTTGGCTACGAACTGCCTCGGCATTTATTGATTCCATAAATTTTTCCCACAAGGAGGTTAGGCTTATTGGTCTATAGTTCTGAAGCTAAGACCTGGTCATCGTGTTTGAAAATAGGTATCACATTTGGCATTTTCCACTTATCATGCACCATGCCCATTTGTAGCGATATGTTGAAAAGATAGCAAGGTGTTGCTAAGCGCCCTCTTTACATTCCTTTAGAAACCCTTGCATACAGTTCATCAGGGCCTGGGGAAATTTGGTTATGTTAATTAATTATCTATTTTGCCTAAGGACCATGTCCACTTGTGACCCTAATCGTGCACAGTTTATTATCGTCCTGTTCTACATAATTTATTATTACTGGGAATATCGCTGATATCCCCTCCTGTGTAAAAACTGAGAGGAAGTATGTGTTAAAATTCAACACATTTCCTTATCACTGTCAGTGAGCTGACCCGAGGAACTTTGAGTGGGCCTAATCTTGTCCCTGATCTTACCTTCCTGTATACTGAAAGAATCCTTTTGCGTAGTCTTCGATTCTCTTGCAGCTTTAACCTCATAATTCCTTTTTTGGCTTTTCTAAGTCCCTTTTTTATTTCCCTCTCTTTAAACTGAATATATCGATTTCTTAATTGCACCCTCTCCTCTTTGATTTGCCCTAAATATGCCTCTCTTTTGACCAATCAGATATTTTTATCTATTGTTCACCATTTAGGATATTTTTGTTTGATCTGATTTCCCTATTTTGAACATAATTTACTGAGCAGCTAGAACTATGCCCTGAAAGCATCATATCGGCAACCATCAACCACCTACCGTGACCCTTAGACCAGGTCTTCAGTTCGCCCACCTAAGTAATTTTTTCAGTCCTATGATCAGCCCAAGCGAAAGTCAGGGACGAGACTTGATTGCCATTATTAGTGAAATCCATGATATATTAAAACTGAGTGATTTGTGATCACTTTCCCCAACTCACATTAACCTCAGATTATTAATTAGTGTTCCCTACTGCAAGAACCAAGTCAAGGAGTTATTTTCCACTAGTTGCTCTGCACAACCTGTTTAAAAAACAATCCTGGATCGTATCAAGAAAGGTCACCTGACTCTAAATTTTCCGTCAAATTGCTCCCAGTCATCTGTCAAATAGTTTGAAATCTCCCATTAGCACAAACATTTTCGTATGTAATGCTTTACGAATTTTGTCGCCATAGAAGTTTACTGCACCCCCATCAAGATTTGGGGCCCTGAAATCACTACCCAAAATAGTTTTCTCGGCCCTCGAGAAGCTGTAACCAACAGATCAGCTGGCTGACGCTTCTATTAATATCTTGTCTAACACAACAATTTAAATTGTCTCTGACATACATCGCAACTCCACACCTTTCCTGTTGACCATTTTCAGTGTGAATAATTTATAGCCTTGTATGTGACATTCAGAGGGCATCTCTCACATATATATATATAAATAGGAAATATATAGATATATAAATATATATATATATATATATTATATTTATAAAATATATATTATAAAAAATATATAATGTATATATATCTATTTATATATGTGTGTGTATATATATATATATATATAAAAATATAATATATATATTTGATATATATATATAAATATACTATAAATATATATATAACTATATATATATATATATATATATATATTATATATTTTATATTTATATATATTATATATATATATATATAATATATATATATATATATATATATAATATATATAGTATATAAAATATATATATATATATAAATATATAAATATAAGTATATAATAATATTATATATAAATTATATATATAATATAAAATATATATAATAAATAACATAATATAGATATATATATATAAATATAAAAACGTATATATATACAAATATAATATGTAATATACGTATTTAAGTATAACATGTTTATATATAAATTTAACGTACAAGGTCCCCTCGCTTATCGTAGTCTTGGGCAATCGTAAATATCGCACAATCATAGGGGTATTTTCGTATAAACATGGACTCTCGCTTTTCATAGTTGACACGCGAATAGTAGTTCTTCCAGGATGCGTAAGCATGGTGTGGAGCCGGGGCTGCCTCCCTACCCAGCCAGTTGGCATTGTTTTAACCAGTGAGTGAAGGTCCCCTCAAGTGCCCCTAACGAAATATTTCATAATATTCCACTCATTTTAAGTGTGCAAGTACTAAATAAGCTACTATGGCTACAAAGAAAGCTCCTAGCCAAGCCTGTGGAGTAAAGAAAGGTGATAAATAAGCTACAGTGACAACGTTCATGGGCCATTTTAGTGAAGTATTAAAAGAGATGCCAGTAACATGAGCTCTCCCACAGTTACTTGCGAGACAGGACTATGAGAGCTCTCAAGGTGTCCAAGTTGGTCATTAAAGAATAGAGAAGGAACAACCCCAGAGAAGCAAATGGTACTGAGGTGTTGCTGGAAGGTGGATTCCCCTTCCAAACAGTAACAATCCAATCTCTCTCTCTCCTCCAGTCTCCAACACTAAGAAGAATCTCCAATAAAGGTAAGTGTTACGCTGTTAATGTTTCATTCATCATTTCCCATTGTATTGTATATTTACTACATTACCTTTCATGTAAGAAAATTTTTTGTTTTAATACTTCTGGATGTCAGGAACGGATTAATTGTATTTACATTATTTCATATGGGGAAAATTGATTCGCAAATCGTAAATTTCGTTTATAGTAACGGCTCCAGGAACGGATTAATTACGAAAAACGAGGGACCACTGTATATATATATGTGTGTACAGGTACCATCCGACTTACGCCCGAGCTTGGTTGTGACCAACTGGTCGTAAGTCGAAATGGACGTAAGTCAAACCTTACTACTGAATATCAACGTCACATTTTTATAATGACTTTATTTTATTGTTTTATTTTGGTATTTCATTTTTTACTTTACTTTTTATGCTGTTAGTACTGTATTTTATACTGTAAGGATTAGGATAAACACTGTGTACAATACAAACAGTTGTTTATTTCCCAGAAATTTAGCATAAAAAACACAGTCATAAGTCGATTGGTCGTATGTCGAGCAGGTCGTAAGTCAGATGGTAGGTGTATATATGTATGTATGTATGTATGTAATGTATTTATTTATTTATTTATTTATTTATTTCAGTATTTTCATGCCGATGCAATATTTTTTTATCTCCAGCACAATAGCCACAATGAATGCAAATGCATTAGTAGAAAAGCAGTTGGTGGCTGCAACACAGATAATTGAACAACAACTTGATGCAGAAATAGAGAAACTTGAATCCTTGGATGCCGATGATTTAGATGCAATTCGACGGGAGCGTTTAGCAGCCATGAAGGAGCGACAGCAGAAGAAACAAGAATGGATCAGTAATGTAAGTCATTGCAATAAAATGCTTTGAAATTAAATATATGTTGAAGTTTATACAGTACAGTGTATTATTACATTTGTGGGGATGTGCTAAACCTGTGAGTATCATACTGGGAAATCTGAGGTAATTAGGTTGATCCTACAGTTTACAGCCTCTCACTTAGTGACATACATACTTGTTTACTGATGCCTCAGACTTATGATGAGCTCTCTGACCAGTATTCATACCTAAATAATGTATACTATTAGAGTTGATTTTCTCTCTTCTGTTTATTTCAATATACAGTACACTACTGTATAAACATTTAAAAATGTACCAGAAATGTTATAAATGGGGCAAAGGTGACATTAAAACAATATCAAAGATGGTTGACACAAACTCACTACCATTATAGTATGCTCCTCACTTAGCGACGAATTCGTTTAAGAACGGAACTCCGTTGTTAACCCTTTCAGGGTCCGTGCCGTAGATCTACGGCTTTACGTTCAGGGTCCAAACCGTAGATCTACGCCATGAGCTCAGCTCGCTCTGATAAGTTGTGAGTGGTAAATTTAGGCCTAGATATGAGAGAATACATCTATGTAGTATGTGTGCACCACATAAAACAAATCCTGCAGCACACAGTGTACAATGAGAAAAAAATTGAGACCTTGATTTTTTATTAAAACAGCGACTTTGCAGTGTTTTTTCGTATGTTTCTTATAGTTGTATTTGTGATTTCTTGGTCTCATTTGATAGAATGGAAGGTATATTACAGAAATAGAGACGATTTTGATTGGTTTTAGCACAGGAAATGGCTTGAAACTGAGCTCAAAGTAGCGGAAATGTTAAATTTTTGCCGATGTTCAAGAGTAAACAAACGACCTCACACGTCTAATACACGCCAGCTGGTGGGTCTAATATACATTCACAAATGTGGCGATGATATTTATACAATTATTACAATATTGCATAATAGTAAATCTTCTATTTTTTGGTTTGAATAAAAATTCATTATGTGAATAAAAAATCAAAATGTAATTCATTTGTAAAGCCTCAAAACATAACTAATGAACAGAGGAAATGTTAGTTTAGTGCCAGGAACACCTACATTGTTTATTCTGGACCCTGTTTTGAAATTAGAGTATTTTGAACTTTGTGTTAAATTGGCCAAATTACCAATTTCCGATCACTTTATTTTGTAGTTGAAACAGTTGACTTGGAGATTTCTTGTGCTCAATCGATAGAATAGAAGTAATACTAGTGAAATAGCAAAGAATATGGTCGACTGGAATAATGTAATTGGCCTAAAATGGGAATCAAAGTCGGCAAAATCGCCGATTCGTAAATATCGCTGACACATCAAAATTCGCGACACCATAATTTTGTCAATTTTCCATCAAATTTTGTACTTTTTGTTTTATTACCATCAGAAAAAGTTTCTCTACCATTTCATAAGAAAAAATAATTTTTTTTTTTAAATTCTTGGACCCTGGTGTGCACTTTGAAATTTGGCCTCTGGACCCTGGAAGGGTTAAGTGAGGAGAGGCCATATGTAGTGAGTAAAGTTCTGGATTGCTTTTACCAAGCCCCATCTTGTTGATTTAGACACAAAACTGTTCCATTGGGTGGGTGAATCTTCCTTTTAGTCTTTCATCAAAGACCACCAGTTTTTGAAACCTAATCTTTCAGATTTCTGTTTTCTTTTTTGTCTGCCTTCTTTCTAAATATAGCCCAGTATTTACCACCAGTCTTGTTATGAAGGTTCATTTTATGAGTAGAGAGAAAGACTTTTAATACTTCCTAAATACCTTGCACAGTACAATACATATTTGGCATTATCTGCCTCACAGTAGCAGCAGCCAAACTACAGCTCATTTGAAGTGTCATTGTTACATTTAAGATTTTTGTGCCCACCCATCTTTTGATTAATAAACAGAAACTTTCACTACACTTACACACTACATTTGGTACGAAATATAATCAAATAAAGCGCTAAACTGACAAGGATCATACAGAGGTATGAAATACAGGTGTATGGATTATATTAAAATTACATTCAGATACTGTTCAAGCTTTCAACCTCATATTTAATTACTGTGATCAGAACTAATACTCTGTTTCTTGAACTTTGAATTAAATTACTGTACCTGTCTCATCAGAGATTGTTTAACCCTTAAACTGTCCAAACGTAGATCTACGTTTTTTCAACATTTGAAAGTATGTAAAAAACGTAACCTTTTTTTTTTACATTTGAAAATGTGTAAAAAAACTTTGATCTACATTTTGTTTTTGTTATATTTGAAAATATGTAAAAAAAACGTAGATCTACTTTTGGAGCACTACGCATGTGAACGTAGCTCTGTTTGGACAGTTTAAGGGTTAATAACACTTTGAATAACAGTTCTTTTCTTTATTCACTCAGGGCCATGGAGAATACTCTGAGCTGTGTGACGAGAAAGAATTCTTCGAAACCACCAAAAAATCAGAGAATGTTGTGTGTCACTTCTACCGAGACCAATTCATTCGATGCAAGATTGTTGACAAACACTTGAATGTTCTTGCCAGGAAACACATTGAAACAAAATTTTGTAAAATTAATGCAGAAAAGGCTCCATTCTTAACAGGTATGGTATATTTATTATATATATTTTCCATGATATAATTGCAGGAGATATGTTGCAGTTTTTGAACTGTATTGTAGGTGTGCCTATGGCAAGAAAGTGATGGAGTGACGGATGATAAAAATGTTTCTTCTTTTTTGGGTCACCTTGCCTCTGTGGAAAATAGCCAATGTGTTGATAAAAAAAAAAAAATTCCATTTTGTTTGCATAACTTAGTAAATTTTCTGTCTCTGCATTATGCTTTCAATGAACTTTCCTCATTCTCAGGAATTTTTTTTTTTTTTTTTTTTCAACAAGTCGGTCGTCTCCCACCGAGGCAGGGTGACCCCAAAAAAAAAGAAAGAAAATCCCCAAAAAGAAAATACTTTCATCATCATTCAACACTTTCACCACACACACATTATCACTGCTTTTGCAGAGGTGCTCAGAATACAACAGTTTAGAAGCATATACGTATAGAGATACACAACATATCCCTCCAAACTGCCAATATCCCAAACCCCTCCTTTAAAGTGCAGGCATTGTACTTCCCATTTCCAGGACTCAAGTCCGACTATATGAAAATAACCGGTTTCCCTGAATCCCTTCACTAAATATTACCCTGCTCACACTCCAACAGATCGTCAGGTCCCAAGTATCATTCATCTCCATTCACTCCTATCTAACACGCTCATGCACGCTTGCTGGAAGTCCAAGCCCCTCACCCACAAAACCTCCTTTACCCCCTCTTTCCAACCCTTTCGAGGACGACCCCTACCCCTCTTTCCTTCCCCTATAGATTTATATACTTTCCATGTCATTCTGCTTTGATCCATTCTCTCTGAATGACCAAACCACCTCAACAACCCCTCTTCTGCCCTCTGACTAATGCTTTTATTAACTCCACACCTTCTCCTAATTTCCACACTCCGAATTTTCTGCATAATATTTACACCACACATTGCCCTTAGACAGGACATCTCCACTGCCTCCAACCGTCTCCTTGCTGCTGCATTTACCACCCAAGCTTCACATCCATATAAGAGTGTTGGTACTACTATACTTTCATACATTCCCTTCTTTGCCTCCATAGATAACGTTTTTTGACTCCACATATACCTCAACGCACCACTCACCTTTTTTCCCTCATCAATTCTATGATTAACCTCATCCTTCATAAATCCATCCGCCGACACGTCAACTCCCAAGTATCTGAAAACATTCACTTCTTCCATACTCCTCCTCCCCAATTTGATATCCAATTTTTCTTTATCTAAATCATTTGATACCCTCATCACCTTACTCTTTTCTATGTTCACTTTCAACTTTCTACCTTTACACACATTCTCAAACTCATCCACTAACCTTTGCAATTTTTCTTTAGAATCTCCCATAAGCACAGTATCATCAGCAAAAAGTAACTGTGTCAATTCCCATTTTGAATTTGATTCCCCATAATTTAATCCCACCCCTCTCCCGAACACCCTAGCATTTACTTCTTTTACAACCCCATCTATAAATATATTAAACAACCATGGTGACATTACACATCCCTGTCTAAGACCTACTTTTACCGGGAAGTATTCTCCCTCTCTTCTACACACCCTAACCTGAGCCTCACTATCCTCATAAAAGCTCTTTACAGCATTTAGTAACTTACCACCTATTCCATATACTTGCAACATCTGCCACATTGCTCCTCTATCCACTCTATCATATGCCTTTTCTAAATCCATAAATGCAATAAAAACTTCCCTACCTTTATCTAAATACTGTTCACATATATGCTTCAATGTAAACACTTGATCTACACATCCCCTACCCACTCTGAAGCCTCCTTGCTCGTCCGCAATTCTACATTCTGTCTTACCTCTAATTCTTTCAGTTATAACCCTACCGTATACTTTTCCTGGTATACTCAGTAAACTTATTCCTCTATAATTTTTACAATCTCTTTTGTCCCCTTTCCCTTTATATAAAGGGACTATACATGCTCTCTGCCAATCCCTAGGTACCTTCCCCTCTTTCATACATTTATTAAACAAAAGTACCAACCACTCCAACACTATATCCCCCCCTGCTTTTAACATTTCTGTCATGATCCCATCAGTTCCAGCTGCTTTACCCCCTTTCATTCTACGTAATGCCTCACGTACCTCCACCACACTTACATTCTGCTCTTCTTCACTCCTAAAAGATGGTATACCTCCCTGGCCAGTGCATGAAATTACCGCCTCCCTTTCTTCCTTAACATTTAAAAGTTCCTCAAAATATTCTCGCCATCTACCTAATACCTCCCTCTCCCCATCTACTAACTCCCCTACTCTGTTTTTAACTGACAAATCCATACTTTCCCTAGGCTTTCTTAACTTGTTTAACTCACTCCAAAATTTTTTCTTATTTTCATTAAAATTTCTTGACAGTGCCTCTCCCACTCTTTCATCTGCTCTCCTTTTGCACTCTCTCACCACTCTCTTCACCTTTCTTTTACTCTCCATATACATGTACTCTGCTCTTCTTATAACACTTCTGCTTTGTAAAAACCTCTCGTAAGCTACCTTTTTCTCTTTTATCACACCCTTTACTTCATCATTCCACCAATCACTCCTCTTTCCTCCTGCCCCCACCCTCCTATAACCACAAACTTCTGCCCCACATTCTAATACTGCATTTTTAAAACTATTCCAACCCTCTTCAACCCCCCCCACTACTCATCTTTGCACTAGCCCACCTTTCTGCCAATAGTCGCTTATATCTCGCCCGAACTTCCTCCTCCCTTAGTTTATACACTTTCACCTCCCTCTTACTTGTTGTTGCCACCTTCCTCTTTTCCCATCTACCTCTTACTCTAACTGTAGCTACAACTAAATAATGATCCGATATATCAGTTGCCCCTCTATAAACATGTACATCCTGGAGCCTACCCATCAACCTTTTATCCACCAATACATAATCTAACAAACTACTTTCATTACGTGCTACATCATACCTTGTATATTTATTTATCCTCTTTTTCATAAAATATGTATTACTTATTACCAAATTTCTTTCTACACATAGCTCAATTAAAGGCTCCCCATTTAGATTTACCCCTGGCACCCCAAATTTACCTACTACTCCCTCCATAACATTTTTACCCACTTTAGCATTGAAATCCCCAACCACCATTACTCTCACACTTGATTCAAAACCCCACGCATTCACTCAACATTTCCCAGAATCTCTCTCTCTCCTCTACACTTCTCTCTTCTCCAGGTGCATACATGCTTACTATAACCCACTTTTCACATCCAATCTTTATTTTACTCCACATAATCCTTGAATTTATACATTTATAGTCCCTCTTTTCCTGCCATAGCTTATCCTTCAACATTGTTAGGTAAGACACATATGCAACAGTTAGGTATCTTTATTATGAAACGTTTCGCCTACACAGTAGGCTTCTTCAGTCAGGTACAGAAAAGTTGATAGAAGCAGAAGATACTTGAAGACGATGTAATCAGTCCATCACCCTTAAAGTTTTGAGGTGGTCAGTCCCTCAGTCTGGAGAAGAGCATTGTTCCATAGTATGAAACAATATGGAGAAGAAGTGACAGGATGGAGCTTTTTATAGCGCCAAGAGGTGAGACGTAGGCCACTAGGAGAGGTAAGAACTCAGATGTTGAGAGGTCAGGTCCCTCTCAAATCCAGCCCCTCTCACTAGTGGAAGTTGTCGAAGTTGATTGCAGGTCTGTACCAAGATACCCTTGTGTTGCAGTGTCTGACAGATTGAACATTAAAATGGTATAAAATACCGACAAGTTGTTAGGTAAGACACATATGCAACAGTTAGGTATCTTTATTATGAAACGTTTCGCCTACACAGTAGGCTTCTTCAGTCAGGTACAGAAAAGTTAATAGAAGCAGAAGATACTTGAAGACGATGTAATCAGTCCATCACCCTTAAAGTTTTGAGGTGGTTAGTCCCTCAGTCTGGAGAAGAGCATTGTTCCATTGTTCCATGGATTTGAGAGGGACCTGACCTCTCAACATCTGAGTTCTTACCTCTCCTAGTGGCCTACGTCTCACCTCTTGGCGCTATAAAAAGCTCCATCCTGTCACTTCTTCTCCATATTGTTTCATACTATGGAACAATGCTCTTCTCCAGACTGAGGGACTGACCACCTCAAAACTTTAAGGGTGATGGACTGATTACATCGTCTTCAAGTATCTTCTGCTTCTATCAACTTTTCTGTACCTGACTGAAGAAGCCTACTGTGTAGGCGAAACGTTTCATAATAAAGATACCTAACTGTTGCATATGTGTCTTACCTAACAACTTGTCGGTATTTTATACCATTTTAATGTTCAATCTGTCAGACACTGCAACACAAGGGTATCTTGGTACAGACCTGCAATCAACTTCGACAACTTCCACTAGTGAGAGGGGCTGGATTTGAGAGGGACCTGACCTCTCAACATCTGAGTTCTTACCTCTCCTAGTGGCCTACGTCTCACCTCTTGGCGCTATAAAAAGCTCCATCCTGTCACTTCTTCTCCATATTGTTTCATACTATGGAACAATGCTCTTCTCCAGACTGAGGGACTGACCACCTCAAAACTTTAAGGGTGATGGACTGATTACATCGTCTTCAAGTATCTTCTGCTTCTATCAACTTTTCTGTACCTGACTGAAGAAGCCTACTGTGTAGGCAAAACGTTTCATAATAAAGATACCTAACTGTTGCATATGTGTCTTACCTAACAACTTGTCGGTATTTTATACCATTTTAATGTTCAATCCTTCAACATTATTGCTACTCCTTCTTTAGCTCTAACTCTATTTGAAACCCCTGACCTAATCCCATTTATTCCTCTCCATTGAAACTCTCCCACCCCCTTCAGCTTTGTTTCACTTAAAGCCAGGACATCCAGTTTCTTCTCATTCATAACATCCACAATCATCTCTTTCTTATCATTTGCACAACATCCACGCACATTCAGACTTCCCACTTTGACAATTTTCTTATTCTTTTTAGTAATCTTTACAGGAAAAGGGGTTACTAGCCCATTGTTCCCGGCATTTTAGTTGACTTTTACAACACGCATGGCTTACGGAGGAAAGATTCTTATTCCACTTCCCCATGGATATAAAAGGAAAAGTAATAAGACCAAGAACTATTAAGATAAAATCAAAGAAAACTCAGATGAGTGTGTATAAATAAACGTGTACATGTATGTGTAGTGTGACCTAAATGTAAGTAGAAGTAGCAAGACGTACCTGTAATCTTGCATATTTATGAGACAGACAAAAGACACCAGTAATCCTACCATCATGTAAAACAATTACAGGCTTTCGTTTTACACTCACTTGGCAGGACGGTAGTACCTCCCTGGGTGGTTGCTGTCTACCAACCTACTACCAATTCTCAGGAATGCTCTTATGAGTTATTAGTGATGATAAAATAAGCTGGACAGCATTCAAATTTTTCTTGTCTTTGAACTTTCAGAGATGCTGCCTTTTTGAACTGACTCGTACACTCAACATCCGAAACACGAATCTTAGTGCTATATATATACAATTTATATATATATATATATATATATATATATATATATATATATATATATATATATATATATAATATATATATATATATTATATATATTTTTTATGCTAGCCTCTATACTTGTACATTACCAAATGATCTGATCGTGAGAATGTGTCAAGTTCGGTTGACCTGACTTTGGCTGTCTCCAAACCTTCACCCATCAGGGTGAGTGCCTTGATGCTAGTGAGGTCCTGATCCAAGTAACTAGATTTGTCCTTCCCTTGGATCAGACCTAAATTCCTCTCATTCCCCAGTGCTTTCTCCTGAATAAAAAAAAAAAATTTAATCTGCCTTGACTTGATTTCTGGCCTTTTCTCTTCTTTCTCAGCCAAAGTTGATAATAGTTCAGCACAGACTAAGTGTCCTCTAGTCCACAGTTCCAGTCTGTGAATTAGTGATCTGTTGTCTTCGATTTTCGGCTTGTACTTCCCCATTTGTATACACTTAAGAAATTTCTCAGTATTAACTCGCATTCATTTGTCTTTGTGCATACAAGTGCCAATTGCTTCACTTGTGTAATGACGAAATAAGTTGTGAAATTTCCTATCATTCATCATATATCTCCTGTGATACCAGTCTGTAAAGGGAGGTAATAAGATGTCAGATATAAGTAAAAAATTAAATACAGTAAAACCTCACATTGACAGATTTCGGCAAATGCTCTATCGGTAAAAATAGACAAAAGTCCATAATTTCGCATTTTGTCTGTTGCGATAGTGTCCGGTTATCTTCTGAAGAATCAGACCAAATCTGCTAATTCGGAAGTTTGTTTGGTACGTGCCAAAGCAGCAACATCCAGGACTTGTCTATTTTTAGTGTTCCTTGGGCTGTATACCACCTGTGCCAGTTTTTTTTGTGCTCACACACATACACAGTCGTTGAGGTATATGTGGAGACAAAGAACGTTATCTATGGAGGCAAAGAAGGGAATGTATGAAAGTATAGTGGTACCAACGCTCTTATATGGGCGTGAAGCTTGGGATGTAAATGCTGCAGCGAGGAGGCGGTTGGAGGCAGTGGAGATGTCCTGTCTAAGGGCAATGTGTGGTGTAAATAATATGCAGAAAATTCGGAGTGTGGAAATTAGGAGGTGTGGAGCTAATAAAAGTATTAGTCAGAGGGGTTGTTAAGGTGGTTTGGTCATTTAGAGAGAATGGATCAAACTAGAATGACATGGAGAGCGCATAAATCTGTGCGGGAAGGAAGGCGGGGTAGGGGTCGTCCTCGAAGAGGTTGGAGGGAGGGGGTAAAGGAAGTTTTGTGGGCGAGGGACTTGGACTTCGAGCAAGCGCACATGAGCGTGTTAGATAGGAGTGAACGGAGACGAATGGTATTTGGGACCTGACGAGCTGTTGGAGTGTGAGCAGGGTAATATTTAGTGAAGGGATTCAGGGAAACCGGTTATTTTATATAGCTGGACTTGAGTCCTAGAAGTGGGAAGTACAATGCCTGCACTTTAAAGGAGGGGTTTAGGATATTGGCAGTTTGGAGGGATATGTTGTGTATCTTTATTATTATTATTATAATCAAGGGGGAAGCGCTAAACCCGGAGGATTATACAGTGCCTAGGGGGGGGGGATGTAGAAGGCATTCAGGCTTAATTCGGGGAACTGGAGCACAGATCCAATTCCCTAAATCAAGAGCCCCTCACCAACACTGTAAAAACAGTGATTATGTGTGAGTGAGGTGAAAGTGTTGAATGATGATGAGAGTATTTTCTTTTTGGGTCACCCTGCCTTGGTGGGAGATGGCCGACTTGTTGAGAAAAAAAAAAAAACACTCATTCATTCTTCAATTTTCCCTGGGTATAGAGTTTTTTGTGTGACTACATATTAAGTAAAGTGCAGCTAACAAAGGTTTCTAAAGCAAGTGGTGGTGCCAAGAGAAAATGTGTGGTTCTCTGTGTTTAAGGGAAACTCAGATTAATAAAGAATGTTGAGTCTGGCATCTCAGTGGCACTGGTATGGGAAATCTGTTGTCTCAGCCATCTACATCTTATCAGTCAGCCGTCTGTGTCTTCTCAGCCATCTACATTACTGTCACTAGTATTATCATTATAATAAAAAAAGAAGCGCTAAGCCACACTGTCACAAAGCTCCTCTAACTCAGAACAAAAGTCATCCTGAGTCACCACTATTGATAAGTTTACATCTCGTCTTAGCTCCACAAAAATGTAAGCAAAGTTACTCTAAATTATGTACTATAAACTATTGTTATATACAGTACAGTACTGTGGTACTATAAGTTACAGTATTCTTAATCTTAGTCTGTTGATACAGAAAAAACTAGACACTAAGTCTACTACTTCAAAAAACTTTCGGACAATCATGAAATTTTATTTCATAATTTAGGAGTTGTGGACATTTGGCATTATCATACACCTCCTTTTCCCTTTAGTGTGTTAATGAAAGATTTTACTGTACTGAAAGTATTTACTTTCCTAATTACATTAATTCCATAAATCAGGTGATAATGTTTGGCAGGTGATGCTAGCATTTGATAAAAGTTTATAATTATATTTTCAGAACGACTCAGCATTCGTGTCCTTCCTACATTGTGTTTAGTAAAGAATGGCAAGACTAAGGATTACATCGTTGGATTCACAGACCTAGGAAACACAGATGAATTCACTACCGAAACGCTAGAGTGGAGAATTGGACGTTCAGCTGTGATAGAATATACTGGAGATCTTCTGTGCCCTCCTGCTTCTAAACCAGGAATAAAAGTAGATATTAAGAAAAAGAAGACCATTAGGGGTGGAAGAAGAGGAGACAGTGATGACAGTGATTCCGATTAATATTTTTTTTTCTTGCCTCCTTGATTATTATTATTATAATCAAAAAGAAGCGCTAAGCCACTTGCCTCCTTGAGCTTCACAAATCTTAGAGAGTTTATGTACAAGTGCTCCTTGACTTACGATGATGCAAAAACTATTACCTTTGACATGAAACTTAAGATTACCCAGCATAAAGGCAGTAAATCCATAACTTTATACATTTTTTTTTACTTTTCAATACTGGTATTTAGTTAGTAATTATATTGTCTATTCACTTATTCAGTGACATTTATTTTATTTAGCATATATTCTTATTCGACTTCCAATATTTTCAACTTACCATGGGGTTATGTTCCGACAAACCCATTGTAAGTCAAGGAGCACCTGTATTTTACTTACAGCTACTGTCGCACTTCTCCAGTGACTAGTTATAAACCATTTCTGGTAAACTTTGTTTTATCAGGCAACCAAGCTAAACAAAGGGTCTAAGCATGGAATTGAGATTGATGCTTCAGTTCAATTATTAGTATTACAAATATAACTAAGCACTAAACCCACATGGGCCATACAGCTGCTTCAGTTCACAGTAAACTTTTTAGATTTCGGTGAAGAGCTCGTGCTGATAATTGCAAGTACTAGTTTATCTGGCTTCATTTTTTTTTTACATTCCTCAATATTCATAATACTGTGTAATGTAATAGCTACCTTTAATTTGATTGAAACAAGTCTGTCAGGTATTTAGCTACAAATTTTCTAGTATTTTTAACTTCAGGAAATGAGCATGAAAATACAGCAGGTATACATTTTGTTCATCTCTCTAATTTTGAATGAACAATCATTCAATTTTGATTAAATTTGTAATTCAGAATCTCAACATATGTTTTTAGGAAATGAAAAAAAGCAGTTTATACTGGAATTTTTTTCTCACAATTGTTTTTCTAGTTCAAGAGTTCTATTACTGTATTCAGTATTTTTCTTAATTTAGATACCCATGGACCTGCATTAATCACCACCCTACAATTTCTCAGTGCACATAGTAGTTTCATATAATAATAATATACTTTGTGCTGTTGGAGTGTGTGTGTGCAAAGTAACATTTATGAAGGGATTCAAGGAAACTGGCAGGCCAGACTCGAGTCCTGGAGATGGGAAGTACAGTGTCTGCACTCTGAAGGAGGGGTGTTAATGTTGCAGTTTAATAGACTAATGTAAAGCACCCTTCTGGCAAGACAGTGATGGAGTGAATGATTATAAAGTTTTTTCGGGCCACCCTGCCTTGGTGGGAATCGGCCGATGTTTTAATAAAAATAAAAAAAAATTCCCATAGTCGCAATATATTTACATCACAGCTTTGAGTATCACTCGCAGCAGTTGACCATCAGGTTCCTCTCATATCTTTTCTTCATGATAGCTGTGTCTTGGTGAAATAGTTCAATGGAGTTTTATTTCAAAGAAGCTGCACATGTTGCCACAAAATTAAGTTCAGAATTGAATTCAGTGTCCCAAAATTAGTCAGACAATTTTAAACATGAAACCATTATTTGCCAGTGTAATTATTGAATACTGTAGTGATTTTAAAAAATTTTTAAAGATAAATATGACCCTAGAGTATTAGCCAAAGATATTGCCCAAAGAAATGTATGGCAGTTATCAAAATTTGGGTAATATATTGATAAACTTGCATATTTTTTGAGAACTGGTCAGACTGCAGTACAGCTCTCGAGACAATGTAACACAATTTTCAGATTGTACATATATATTCATTTTGATAAGTTAGTAAAATAAAAAATTTTCTTGCACAGTATGTTTCTCACTTTTCTTGATAGGATGAAGTGGTAACAATCATGAGAAATTTTTATAAAATATATAGTACACTTATAGTATGTATACTGCACAGTACTGCATTTCTTATATAGTATACAAGTACAGTAATATGCATACTGTCCAGTATTGTATTTCTAGACAGTCTGGTCAAATATTCTTGTTAAGCCCCTATTTTGCAAAGAATTTTAGGGACAAGCTAATAATGTTTGTAAATGAGAGGTGCTGAATGCCCCATACAGGTTTAATTTTTTATTTTTATATTTATTTAGAGTTGGCATTAATGGTAAAACAGTTGAAACTGGTACTGATAGTTAAATGGTAATATTCATTATGCATAAAAATGTATTATCCATGTTTCCAGATTATTATTATTATAATCAAAGGGGAAGCGCTAAACCCGGAGGATTATACAGCGCCTGGGGGGGGGGGGGATGTGGAAGGCATTCAATCTTAATTCGGGGAACTGGAGCACAGATCCAATTCCCTAAATCAAGAGCCCCTCACCAACATCAAGGAACCTTCCTTGAGGGGCATGTTTCCAGAACTGGTGTCTTAAAATATATATTGCACTACATTTTGTGGATGTTCTTTATAATAATATGAATTTATTATAATCTAAAATAAGTGCTAAACCTAGAAATATGGATTTAGAATAGAAGGAAAATTTTTTTATAATGTTCAGATGAAAAATACAAACGTAAATTTGTTTTTGAAAATACAACTAACATGGTTATAAAGGAATTTCCTGCAATGGACATACTAGTGCTTAAGTAGATGCTTTTATATTACTACACACTGTGGAAATTGTGAGCTAAACATCTCTCTTAACAGAGTCAAATTTCATATTTTAACTTTCCATATGTATTTAATAATGTAATTTGTAATCATTTTTTTGTGAGCTGTTCACCATTAATTTGTTGGCATCATATGCTTTGTAATAAATTTTTGCCATAGGTGTTCTTTTTACTCTATGTATGGTGACATTATGTAGCAAAATTAGACAAATTCTAGTCTTACTCTACATTAAGATAGAGCTATGTAAAAATCTATTTACAGTATAGTACAGTATGTTAAAACAGTAAACCCTCATGCAACATGACTTCAGTGCAATTTTTAGTGCAACTGAAAATCTTTATATGCACACTGTGAAGTGTTGAAACAGGTAATGTTCAAAATACTGGCACTACACCCTGTAGCACTTATGTGCAAAATTTGGGTACTACACTCAGTGGTACAAGACTACTTCCCTTTCATCAACAACCCATGCCACCTACAGATATATTCCATTTATCAAGCTAATAATGATATTTTCATCCCTATCTGGTCCCTGGATGGTAACCAAGAGGAATATTAGCATTGCTGTAGGTGCTAAAAAAAGATTAAATGTGAACCTCTAATTTTGTTGAAGAACATTGAAGTGTTAGGTATACTTACAGTTCGTGAGCTAGTGCTGGAAACCGCCTGAGAGTTGTGCAAATAGATTTACCATTCATGAAATAGAAATAAGAAAGAAAAATAAGAGCTTGTGTATTTAGTACAGACTGTCACCTATTAAAAAGTGTGTGAAAGTAGTCACTACAGCTAAATATGAAGTTACAGAGTGTGTCACTAGATTAAAAAAAAAAAAAAGGAGGGGGGGCCTCAGTGCTCAGATGGCACAAAGCCCTACTGTTTTGTAACAAACACTTGAGAAGGCAGGTAAGCCTTCACAATATATTTAATGATGGATGGTTTATAATTATAAATGGGAAGTGCTAAACCTGTACACATCAGTGTATGGAGAATGGGAGGCAATCAAGTTCGAACTAGTTATATTGGTATTGTATGGTGGTTCACAGAAATTAGTTCTAGTTAAAATGATGAATGCAAATGAACAAATCAAGAGAGTAAACAAGATGACAGATGGTAAAGACCACACTTTTGTTACAAAAGGTTTCTCCTAGAGAAGACCCTGGTAGGTTTAGCACTTAGTTTTGATTAAAATAATTCTCTTAGAGCAGATGAGCTGCTTTAATTTTGAGAATGACACTACTAGAAGCCTAGAAAATGTGAAACTCACATTTAAAAGCTAAAACAAGAATGTCCATTAATTAAACAATTTAAAATAATAAATTAACTCCAATGGACTTAATACACCTGAGGAAATTTTTTATAATGCTGGTTATTTTAACTTAACTTGATGGTATTTTGTTGTATTCACTGCTGGGTGATTTCAACTTAGGACACCTAAAAATGAAGGAATGTGGCAAATAATGTTTTAGCAGAGATAACCCCAGGAGGGAGCTCATGAAAATTCACACACACACAAGATATTAAATCTCTGCAACAAATTCACCTTAAGCCAACAAATAGTGGAAAATACACTTGACCTGAGGGTGCTTACACCAAATTCAACTTCAATAACAAACACGCAGTGGGATCAAATTAACCATGTCCTAAATGAAAAGCTGGGAAAATATTTGAACTTTTGTCTAGAAAAAATTAACTGTGGCACTTAAAGTATGCTCAAGGCACATTTCCCTAAGGAAAAAGAAGCTGTAAACTAGAGAGAGAGAGACTCCCTCTACAGGCAAAGGCAAAGAATCACAGAGCTGCTGAAAGGGGCCTGTATATCTGAAATACAGAGGGAGGCACTGGCCAGAGAAATAGAAACACAGGAAGAACTTAAGTTTCTTTTCCTATGCCAAATCTAGGGCAAAACCCACCCAGTATTTGGTCCCTGCTTAAATGAGATGGGACTTCTACAGAGGACAGAAAAGAAATGAGCGAGATATTGAAGTCCCAATATGACTATGCTTAGTGAGCTGTTAATCAGAGTAAGGGTTGACAATCTTAAATTTTTTATGATACTCAAAATTGGGTTAATTCAAGAATTTCTGATAGAATCCTAACACCACAGGACTTTGAAAAAACAGGCCCAGACTTGTGGAACTAAAGTGCTCATCAAGAACTGCAAGAAACCCCTTTTATGTGCCTCAAATATTCTATGGAGAAGGAGCATAGACACAGGGGTCTTTCCACAGTCATTAAAAACAACAGATATAGTCCCTCTCCACAAAGGTGGAAGTAAAGCAATTGCAAAGAATTACAGACCAACAGCACTAATGTCCCACATTTTAAAATTCTTTGAAAGGGATCCAAGAAGCAAGATTGCCAACAACCTGGATACTCATAAATTGTACAACCCAGGGCAGCATGGGTTTAGAGCAGGTCGCTCCTGCCTCTCAACTAATGGATCATTACGACTGTCTTGGATGGAGTGGAGGACAATCAAAATGCAGACGTAGTAGTATATACAAATTTTGCAAAATCCTTCAACAAGTGTGGCCATGGTGTAATAGCGCACAAAATGTGTGATATAGGAATGACAGGAAAAGTTGGTAGATGAATCTATAACTTCCTAATAAGTAGAATACAAAAAGTAATAGTAAAACAGTAAAGTCAGAGGTGACTACAGTGAAGAGCTGTTCCACAAGGCACAGTACTCCCATCCTTTTCCTCATCCTCATATCTGACACACGCATGTAAGCAACAGCACCATGTCCTTTGCTGATACCAGAATTTGCATGACTCGTCCATTGAGGACACTGCAAATCTACAAGTGGACATTAACCAAGTCTTTAAATGGGCATCAGAAAACAACATGAAGTTCGATGAAGACAAAACTTGAGGAAATATAAACTATCAGAGTATAGAACAAATTCCAACCACACAATAGAGTGAAAAACTAATGTGAAGGGCCTGGGAGTGGTAATGTCAGAGAATCTGACTTTCAAAGGTCACAACAACATATCTATCACACCTGCTATGAAAATGATAGGATGGATAATGAGATCCTTCAAAACTAGGGATGCCACGCCAATGACGATTCTCTTCAAATCGCTTGTTCTCTCTAGGCTGGAATATTGCTGTACATTAACAGCCCATTTCAAGGCAGGCAAAATTGAAGACCTGCAGAATATACAGAACTTTCACTGCACATATAAGTACCATAAAGCACCTAAATTACTGGGAATGCTTAAAGTCTCTTGACCTGTACTCCTTGGAACATAGGTGAGAAAGATATGTGATAATATACACTTGGAAAATCCTAGAGGGACTAGTCCCAAATCTGCACACAGAAATCCCTAGCCATGAAAGCAAAACACTTGGCAGGCGGTGCAACATTTCCCCAATGAAAAGCTAAGGTGCCACGAGTAGGTTAAGAGACAACACAATGTATCAGGGGCTCCAGAATGTTCAACTGCCTCCCAGCATACATAAGGGAGGATTACCAGTAGAACCCTGGCTGTCTTCAAGAGGGAGCTAGACAGACTTAAAAATCAGCTGGGCTGTGGTTCGTATGTCAGTTTGAATAGCCAGCAGTAACAGCCTGGTTGATCAGGCCCTCATCTACTGCAAGGCCTGAGGGGGTGTTGACCCTCTGAACATCATGAAGGTATGCTCCACTTATAGTAGTTTAATTTTAATTTTTTAGTATCCAAGACTACTGAAAAATCTACAGTATATAGTCAAACCACTCTTCAGATTTCAAAACCATCTACCTACCTACCTAGAATTGCTAATTTTGCAGTCAGGATGCTGTACACTGTTTAGTATTATATACATATAATTTTGGAAGACTTACTACAATATTTGTGGCACATTTTCACATTTACTGTAATACATAATGAACCTGTCATCCTATCATTAGGTGTATTGTAGCAAGTTAGATTATTTTTCTATAACTACACATTGCAGTTACTGCTTTTTGCACATAAGCAATCATTAATCAACATATAATCTTTTTGTACAAATATTAAATAAACAGCTTTATGTTTACTTGTTTGTTCTAGAACATTTTATGCATTTGTCTTGACAAAAAACTATGTAAATAACTTTATACTTCTGGAAAATCCTTATCACAGTCACAATATTTATATTAACCTCAAAGAATGAAACACTTGTGCAGTCATGTAGGTTCACCAGTACTTCCGGCCTGGTCTTCTCCAGATGGTGACCCGGCGAACTCGTGAATGAAAAGAAAAAAAAAATCACCCTAAAGGATACTGATTAATTTATATTTTTTTTGTGTTCTTTGGTAAGACTAAGCCACTTGCTACCAAACCTTTCTGTTGGCTAAGAGTTTCACAACATCAGCAGGAAGGAAGGGACAGGATGGAAAGACTTGACTGCATTGGGTCTGGTTTGAGGTAAATTTTGCCCACCGTCCAATGAAAGAAGCATATTGATACTTGGAAGCCGGTGTGTGATGCTCATCCCAGGGGATGGGGAGATCCGGTTGAGGACTGGAAAGAAAAATGATTGTATAAACAGGTTGGAATAGAGGACCAAAGCATCATGCATTAATATTTTAAATTACATCTTTGTAAATGCTGTAGAAATTTTGTATAATACTCTGCAAACTTTATTACAGTATTATCATCATTATAAA